CTCTGTCACAAAGCAACACCAAAATAAAACAGTGTAGAGCTGTTGTCTTATAAGACCCTGCAATTGGCTGACATCCTTTCCAGGGTGTTTCTCTGGCTTCTGCCCTGGGCTTCCTGGGTTGGCTCCAAGCAAACACTGCAACCCTCTACTGGATAAGCAGTTATGGATGATGAATGATGAGACGTTTTCTTAAAGGTGATGTGTTTTGCATCCTTTGAACATGCTCAGTGTTTTTCTTTTGGAAAGAACTTTATTTATATACTTGAACATCCCCTTTGAGACAAGCAAACCTATTACAGCAGGTCACGCAATATGCAGATGGGAATTTTTCTTTCATCTAATATAAATATATTTGCATATAGTAGGCATGGGGACAAGTGCCTGCCATGACTACCTGTGTGATATACAGCATGACTTAGCATATTTACAAAGGAGGTAGAAGCCAGTTGTTTTATTTATGAGAGATGAGTTTAATTTGTGTGTCTTACATCCAGAGTCTGTGTTACATGTTAATGTCTAAATATCTGGCAATAAACTAATAGACAGAGCAGGAGAGACATGCAAAATGGACTCTCCAGAGTTTTCTCAACTTCTGCATGTTTCTCAGAGACTGGGGTTATTCTAACACTCTCTTGCAGCCTCTGACTCGACCCCGTTTCTCCGAGACCTGATGCGGCCGCCCAAGTTGAGTTACGGTGAATACCCGCTCAGCCTCTGAGGTGGGCACACGCTGGGTTACCGTAAAAGACCGGCTCAGCCTCTGAGGTGGGCACACGCTGAGTTACGGTAAAAGACCGGCTCAACCTCTGAGGTACGCACATGCTGATTTACGGTAAAAGACCGGCTCAACCTCTGAGGTGTGCACATGCTGATTTACGGTAAAAGACCGGCTCTGCCTCTGAGGTGCGCACACGCTGATTTACGGTAAAAGACCGGCTCAGCCTCTGAGGTGCGCACACGCTGATTTATGGTAAAAGAACGGCTCAGCCTCTGAGGCGCGCACACGCTGATTTACGGTAAATGACCGGCTCAGCCTCTGAGGCGCGCACACGCTGATTTACGGTAAAAGACCGGCTCAACCTCTGAGGTGCGCACATGCTGATTTACGGTAAAAGACTGGCTCAGCCTCTGAGGCGTGCACATGCTGATTTACGGTAAAAGACCGGCTCAGCCTCTGAGGCGCGCACATGCTGATTTACGGTAAAAGACCGGCTCAGCCTCTGAGGTGCGCACATGCTGATTTATGGTAAAAGACCGGCTCAGCCTCTGAGGTGCGCACACGCTGGGTTACGGCAAACGCTGGCCCAGCCTCTGAGGCGCGCACACGCTGGGTTACGGCAAACGCTGGCTCAGCCTCTGAGGCGCGCANGTGTTCATGCCAATATAAATTTATAGACTTAACAGAGAGACATGCAAAGTGGACTGATTGCTCAGAGTTTTGTCAAAAGTATTTTGTGTTTGTCCAGCGTTTTTCCACAGGTTTGAAGGTGACTGTTGCCCTGGAAACTGGGAGATGGGATTATGAACAGAAAGGTCCTGGTTACCTGAGAATACAGTCACAACACAGGAACATGGCAGAAATTTTTACCGATGAAGAACATATCATCACTACTTTGTTTTAACGAGACATACTGATCAGAACACAGAACAGCAAAGAAAATCAGTTACATTTTAAAGTAAATGTTGGTAATAAAATATTTATTTTAAAAGGTAGTATAATATAATGTCATGTTTTATAAAAATTTAGACCTTAATCCTGTGTATAGGAATAACAAATTGTGAAAATTACTCCGTAGCCAGTAGGGGGAGCTAAATAATCATTCATCTATCTTCCACACTCCTGGTCAGGGTCACTGGGGGCCTGGAGCCTATCCCAGGCAGCACATGCACAAGGCTGGGGTACAGTCTGGGCGGGATGTGAATTCATTACAGGGCACATACACAGCCATGCACTGCAGGCAATACAGAGATGCCAGTTAGCCGAGTGCAGAGTGCAGCTCACTGGGTTCGGAACCTGAGCCCACGACTGTGAGCAGAGCTGGACAGGCCATCTGGCATACTGGGTATTTTCCCAATGGCCCAATGGGTATGTGGGCTGGCAAAATTTATCGTGGGGGACCCCAATGTTTTAATCCCAGTCAGGACTGGCTGGCAGAGTAATCATACCACGACAAACCATTTTGCTCATTATGAGATAGCGAACAACATACAGATCATACAGTATAAGGATATTTACATTAGAGTGAAACTCAGTAATTTAATAGTTTTGTCTTTTTGAGATGGACAAGATTACTTCTTTGGTTTCCTTTCTGATTGAACTCAATATTGTAAATAAATATGTGAAATAAACATATATGAGTCTTATTGCTGTCATGTTACCAGATTATATTAACAAGAAACCAGGTTGTCTGGTTCAGTTTATAACATCATAACATTTTTGATTTGATGTGTGAAGTCAGCATAAAGCCATAGAAGCTAAAGATATGCTAAAGTACTTCATTACTACTTNCGGCAAACGCTGGCTCAGCCTCTGAGGCGCGCACACGCTGGGTTACGGCAAACGCTGGCTCAGCCTCTGAGGCGCGCACACGCTGGGTTACGGCAGGCGCTGGTCCAGCTTCTGAGGCGCGCACACGCAGAGTTACAGCGAACACTGGCTTAACCTCTGTGGCCCTCACTAGCTCAGATTCGGCAAGTGTCAGCTGAGCCTCTGAGGCATTATGGGTTGCCGGGTCCTGACGGGTATCTAGGCTGGCACTGTATTACATTATAGTGATTTCCCAACTTCCAATTGGATTCTGTCATTGGGCCAGTGGACGGTTCCCCTAAAGAACACGGCACCGTAAAGAGAAACAACTATATTTCACAGTAAATGTTGGTTATGAGATATTAATTATAAAAGGTAGTATACTATAAAGTCATGTTTTATAAAAAATTAGTACATAATGCTGTGAATAGGAATAACAAATTGTGAAAATTACTCAGTAACCAATGGGGAGTGCTATCCCAGGCAGTGCATGCACAAGGCTGGGGTACACTCTGGGCAGGATGTGAATTCATTACAGGGCACATGCACAGACATGCACTGCAGGCAATACAGAGATGCCAGTTAGCAGAGTGCAGCTCACTGGGTTCGGAACCTGAGCTCACGACTGGGAGCAGAGCTGGACAGGCCGTCTGGCATACTGGGTATTTTCATGATGGCCCAATGGGTATGTGGGCAGGCGAAATTTATCGTGGGGGAACCCAATGTCCAGGGTTCAGTTTTAATCCCAGTCAGGACTGACTAGTAGAGTAATCATACCACTGTATGACTGGGGCATAAGTGGCCTAATGGTTAGGGAAGTGCACTTGTAATTGAAAGATTGCTGGTTTGAACCCCTGACCAGCAAGGTACCACTGAGGTACTCTGAGCAAGGTACAGCCCCCAAGCACTGCTCCCCGGACACTGAATTAGCTGCTGCTTGTTATGTCACATATGGGTTAGATGCAGAGGACACATTTCTTTTTTGTGTGTCAACAATGGTCTTTAAATTCTGAAATCATACCATCAGAGCCCTGGCTGGGAGAGTAATCATACCAACACAAACCATTTTGCTCATTATGAGATAGCGAACAACATACAGATCGAATAAGGATATTTACATTAGAGTGAAACTCAGTAATTTAGTAGTTTTGTCGTTTTGAGATGGACAACATTAATTAAAAAAGAAACCAAAGAATTAAACACAATATTCTAAATAAATATGTGAAATAAACATATATGANTTAAGGTGGTATAGGAGAGGCGGATGTTGTCCAAGCTCAGCACAATGCTGGACTCTCTTAAGGTGGTATAGGAGAGGCGGATGTTGTCCAAGCTCTGCACAATGCTGGACAATTTCTCCCACCCACCCCATGACGTGCTGGCCAGTCACAGGAGCTCGTTCAGTGAGAGGCTAAGGCCCAAATGCTCCACTGAACGACACAGGAAGTCATTCCTGCCTGTGGCTGTCTGTCTGTACAACACCTCCACATCCGCAACTCAACCCCATGTATAGTTAATTTATTTAACGTATTAGAATATTATTTGTGTACTGTTTATATAATATATTATTCTATATAATATTTTTGTATATTGAGTTCCATTTGTAATTTTGGCCCATTTGTAATTTTGGTTATTGTAATATTTGTCCATTTGTAATTTTAGTATTGTGAATTTGAATTATTGTTATTGTATTTAACTTGTTACTCATCTTCTTACTGTCCGGGAGCAACTGTACCCACATTATTTCCTCAGGGATCAATAAAGTATTCTGAATCTGAATCTAAATGTGTTACGCAAAGTTAAATTGGGCAAATTCCTAACATATATAATTTGATTTCGGTTAGAGTTAATAAGCATCAAGTCATTATAAGACATGCAATGGTTATGTGACTTTGAAAATGTCACCTGTCAGACCTGTGGCCTTGCTTTCTAATGATTGGAGAGGAATTCCTCTTCAAAAACACTGAGAGCCAATCAGAGCCGGCATGCTTATTCTGACTGGCTTCCCACAAACACCTTGGTGAAGTTTGGTCACACTTTGCTCCTTAAGCTGTTACTGTGTCGTGTGACTCGTCCTGCAGACTTTCTGTTCTAACCATTACTGTAGTGCTGCCACTTTAACTCAGGAATGAGAATGTTTCTGTATGAATAATGAACAGAGGTGCCACTTCTGAAACATTAATAAACGTACATGAAAAAGACATATATAAAGAATTAATGAATATATATTATCATAAATGTCATCAGAAATGACAACCAACACCAAGAAACAGGTACATGGTGACAGTTATGGTTTCAGAATTTCTTATCAAGTTAAAATGTCCTGCCAGCCTGCAGAGACTGTCAGGCATGAGATGCTTAACAATGTTATTAATTGTATTATTTTACAGTGTCCATTGCTGAGTTGGTGCAATTTTATTTGAGACATAAAACAAGCACAATTTACAGGGGGTCTTTTTTTAATCTAAGTACAGAATGCAACAAAATTTTTGTATAAAATAGCAGAATAGAAATGTTTAAAGTTTCTTAAACTTGAAATTGTTACATTTATATTCAAATGTAACATTTCAAACCTTCAAAAATCATCAGCCTGCTCTTTTTATATGTTTATGCCTCTTGTCTCACGTCTGGGGATTTGCATTGTTTCCAATGTTAAGTTAGCGTTAACGTTAGGATAGTGCAGTGTTGTAAATCAGCCAGTACACTTTAGAGTGCAAGTATAACTTGAAATTATTGCTAAGGTGTATAACACATAATTGTATAAACAGAGAGTGTTCAGAGTGCTTGAAAGATAAGACTGTTTTCACTTCATTATGTAATGTTACTGAAAACAAAGGAAGGAATAAAAATACAAAAATCTAATTTTACAAATTTAACAGCTACTTCTGCTATTTTAATTTAAGTACACTCTGCATGTATATATGGTAAATATGATACAGAAATATCTGGTTGATTTATGAATAAATCAACTTTCAGGAAAAACACTTGTATTTGAGGAATGTGAAGCAAAAATCTTTAAAGATATAATGAGTTTTAATGACTTTT